GTTCCTCCATCAACGGTCTTGTTCGATCTGTGATGTGTTTCATTGCCCAGAAACCAGATCTTTTAAACAGAGAAAGATTTTTAAAAAGGCAGTCTGTATCAAACAAGGCAACGCAACTCAGCATTTCTGTAGAATAGAAATTACATGAAACTAACTAAACATGATCCATGGGGACACACAGCTAGCAAAACTATATCAGATAAAAGGCTAGTAGAAGAAGCCAAAGAACTCATCAGAACATGAATCTACTGTTTTTGTACCTGCTTTCCGCATACAGTATATAAACAGTATGCATTAAAACAAAACTGAATCAATAATGTAGGGGAGTACGACCCTCAAGGAAAACCACTGGTTATCAGTTGAAGCATTGCAGCCATATGGCTTTTGGGTTGCATCACTTCACCACTGAAGCTTCCGTCTTGCAAATTCTCAATGTTGCTCTACTTCAGTGCAATTCTAACTGGTAAAGACAGGAAGGGCAACTGGGTAATCATAAGCAAGATGAAGCTGGGTCAAGTCCGTACTCCTTCCAGTCAAAAGATATTGGGAATTACTTAGGACTGCCTTCACCCTGGACTAACCTTATGGCGTTGCCCCTGGGCATTTGCAGAAATGCATCCAACAGAACATGGTATCTCCTTCGCATCACCCTTAACCAACTCCCTTTCAAACTCTTCTGCTGGCAGAGTTTAACCTGCAGAGCAGTTCCTATGCCAGATCACATGTTTGGGAGATCTCTGAGATCAGCCAGCAGAAACAGGTTCTGCCTGATCCTGAATCCTTCATGTGGCACATCTCTGAGTTAGGAGTCCTCTGCCTGTCATATTTCCTTGAGATTCTTTTGATGATTCACCATCTTCCAAATGCTCAGCTACCCAGACTTCAGACTGGCATGGGTTTCTCTCCTCTCTTACCTGGTAGGCTTTAATAATGCCATTGCGTTCATCATGTGGAGGAGGTTCCCAGTGAATGATCACAGTCCCGTTGCCACCTTGGATTGTGGCTATGCTGACGCTCTGAGGAGCAGCACTAGGCACTGAGAAGAAAGGATCGGTTTCCATAAAGACTTTCAGGAGACGTTGGAGTATCAATTATCAACACAATGCTTTAGGAATGGCGCCACTCCTTCACCTGCTATTCCACCTCTGCTCTGAATTTAGGAACATTTGTATTAACACTAACATGTCACTATTTAATTGTTAGAGAAAACTAATTAACACTCACACCAGAGGTGGGCAACTGCTGGAGACTAAAGGGGCTACGCAAGCTGTCAGCTGGACCTTGGAAAGGGACACCAACGTCCCAAATAACTATTTAATTGTTAGAGAAAACTAATTAATTAACACTCACACCAGAGGTGCGCAACTGCTGGAGACTAAAGGGGCTATGCAAGCTGTCAGCTGGACCTTGGAAAAGGACACCAACATCCCATATTTTGAAATTTAGGCCAACATCTTGTTGAAAGAACATGGACCCACACAATGATAATGGTGTAAACAGCTTGCACACTTTGGTGAAACACCTGTTGTAGGACTGGGATTGACTTGGAGGTATGGGGTTCCTCCCTCTGGGCCTTGCAGGGTCACATTCATCCAACCGGCCACTTTTGGCCCTCTCCTTGCCTTAACTCAAACTTGCAGACTTTTTCTTCAGCCTGAGGATAAACATTTCCGAGAAATTCTCCAGAGGCTCCCCTCTGATATAGATGTGTCCAAAGGCAAAACACAGAATGTAAAATATCCGTGACACAGCAAAGGAGAATACCAGAAGGCCAGACAGAAGTCCAACGAAAACAGCGTATTGGCCTTAGGGCCTGTGATGCCCCAGCTGTGGCTAAAACATTGATACAAGTAAGCAGAATTAAATGTTTTGGTTGTTGTGGCTCTTTGGCTGTGTTCTGAAGGTTGCTACTCCTGTCCTCTGAGGATGCCGGCCACAAAGACTGGCGAAACATTAGGAAGAACAACCTTCAGACCACGGCCAAAGAGCCCGAAAAACCCACAACAACCATTAGATCCCGGCCGTGAAAGCCTTTGCAAAGAATTAAATGGTGTTCTTTGTTAACTACACACATGACTCTGTTTTGGCTTCATTCTACCCCAAGATAGACATAGGTTGACGTGAACACCACTGACACTCGCTGTGTATATACTGATTGTGTACTCTGTTTTGGCTTCATTCTACCCCAAGATGGACATGACGTGGGTTTTGATACGTTCAAATGCACTTATGTCCGTTCCTTTGCTTCTGGGCTCGTTCAGATTTATTTTTTTATTTAAAATATTTCTGTCCCACCTTTCTCCCCAAAAGGACCCAAGGCAGCTTGCGAGGTCACAGAGAGCCCTCCCCTCCATGTGCTATGTCTAAATCTTTTTAAAGTCACCTAAGACAGCTGCCATTGCCCATCGTGAGGCAGAGAAATCTGTAGCAGCTATTCCATCTTTGTCTTCACAAGCCGTGAAAAGACAGAAGGCAGAAGGCAAGCAATGTGAGGCTATGTGATGAAAGAAAGATGTCCTTCAGAGACACGTCAGCTCCTTTTGGACTAGAGGCAAGACGTGGGATGATTTTTGCTTCTTGAAAGCCCAGAGTTTAAGGCTTGTATTGCAACAAGAAAGGTTTGCTCCATAAACTTCATGCCCCTGCTTGGATGTTTCCATCCTGCTGTCAGTGTTTGTTGAGTCTTACAAATAGCAAAAATATTGTACGTAGTAATTCATTAGGGCAGAAATGGAGAATCTGGCCCCTGTGCCTGAGGTGGTCCATGGAACCCCACCTTATCTCCACCTTACCTTCTGCTCTTATCTCTGATCAATAGTTTCAGATAAAAGATAAGAGCTTAGGAAGCTGTTGCCTAATACTGCTCTCTGCTTTGCAGCTTAAGAAGGTAATGAAGATAGAAATTGGCCACGGGTTCAAAAACAGAGTTCCTTACCCCACCTAAAGAGGCAACTCAGGGACAGCATGAAAATATCATACGTTCACTTGGAAGCCATCCTGCCACAGGAAACAATCCCTGGCCAAATAGACTGCTTCAGTTCAAAGAACCTCCGTAGGTTGACGTGAACACCACTGACACTCACTGTGTATATACTGATTGTGTGTGAGTTTGTTGCAGTCAAAAAAAGAAGAGCTGCTTGTACCTTCTTCAGGGATCCAGAGGTGTCTCATATTGCTGTCCGAGCCGTGGACCTTCCCTAAATATGGCCGCACCTTGAACTCATACGTATAACCTCTTTCCAGCTCTGGCACGATAGCTCGGTGGTTTCTTGGGACATTCCATTCCGCCCAATGAGTGCTCACAGGCAGCAGGGAACGGTAGAGCACCTTATAGCCTTCTATACGCTGTGCCTGGGTAATGGGGACAACCTTCAAAGTAATAAGAGAAGGCATTTGTGTTCACTTCCAAGCACGGTTAGCAGAAATTATTAACAATGGGCAAATCCATCACGCTCAGTTTCACTTAACTTCTTCTCCTTCTGCTCCTACAAAGTTCATTCTATCCCTTTTTCCTACCAGATTAACAGTTACCAGTTTTCAAATGATGTGCAAATTGATACACTTTTTTTAAAAAAGAGATACGCTATTCCAAGCAAACGTCTCCCCTGGATAAGCATTGTGTGCATTATTTCCCATATTTACATATTTTTATATATTTATTTGTTTTTGTACACTTTCAGAATTTTCTCTTTCTTTCTTTCTTTCTTTCTTTTCTTTGAAGAAAAGAATATTTTGAGAACTACATGGTCAGGACCTTACGCAATTGCCCCTCTTCTCTGTCTTAAGCAACAGGATCCTGGCCACTGTGATTAACTATAAGGACCTCCTTAGACACAGCTTTGTTCAATTACAGGCTCTCTCCTCCACCCCAATCCAACCCATAGTTCTTATTATTTCTGACTTACCTTCCAGTGCAGCTGGGCTGCTGGAGCAGAAGGGGCAGCAGTGACATTTAGCAGGTAAATCCTGACATCCATTAGCTCTTTCAAAATATCTTCTGGCTTGTCCCATTCCTTCTGTCCAGTGTCTAATGGATCTAAAGGCCAAAAAAAAGGAAACCTAGTGCGTATCTTTGGTGAACCTCAACTAATCTCATCTAACCAAAGGAGAATGACATGAGCAGCTTGTGAGTCCCCTCCTGTTCAGTCCATCAGCCACCCATGGATGGTGAGTTTTCTTGTCTTTCCTCTAAAGCAATCTAGAGAGAAGGACAGTCACCATTAGGGATGGGCACAAATCAGAAAAATGGTGATTTGTTTTGATTCATGATTCATCAAGGTTGACAAATCATGAATAATGAATTTACAGGGTTTTTTGTGACAAGTCGATGAATCAATTTGTTGATTCATTTTTGCCTTTTAAATCTGATAAGATGCACCAATTTCAGAGAAGATCACTATAATGCTTCTCTACAAGCCCTGCAAGTTTGGTGATGTTTGGGTTTTGGACATCCGAGTTATACACCCACAAAGTGGGTCACACACACGCAGGAAAGTGCCCTTTAGCAGCTGGTTGGGGAAACGCAATATTCACCAAACTTGGAGGGATTGTAGAGGAGAGTCAGGGAAGTATTTATGTGATTTTATGTCTCTAGGTACCTGAGGGGAACTTTCCTGGGGGGGGCTCTTTGTGGGTGTATAACTTGGACATTCAAAACCCAATCATGACCAAACTTGGAAAGATTGTAGAGGAGAGTCAGAGGAAGCATCCTGGCAATTCTAGTGTCTCTAGTTGTGGGGGGGGCATTTTATAGCCCAACAAATTAACAAACCAAAAATCACTAAAAATTCATTGACTTGTATTCGTCAGGGGCATTGATTCATATGAATAGCAATTAACAAATTAGTAGATTTCTAGGCTTGAGGGTGGGGGGATCTTGGGAAACATACTCCCTCACTGAATGCACCAACCACCCCCACCCCGTGATAGCCATTATCCCTCTGCTTGCTTTTCTCTCTGAACCAATTTCAGATCCTCTCCCCCAAAAAGAAGCTAACAGGTGTGGAGAAGCTTCCTGTTCATTCTCTTTGTTCTCTCCTTCTTTGCTCATTCAAGGAGGGCAGGCAGCCAGCCAGCAAAACTAGGAAGACCCAGGGGCTCCAGAGATTTGGATTGGACTTCCATAAATGGCCAACGACATTCGTCGCTGGCACTGCCTCTGTGAAGTGATGCTTGAAGAAAGGAGCCCACTCTCATTTGCTGATCCTTCTTACCCTGCACCGTTAAGGTTGCCGTGGCTGAGATCGTTCCCACCTTGTTGCGAGCAGTACAGACATATTTGCCTGCATCATACATTGTCAGATCATTAATCTGAAGGACGTTTTCTTGGTTTACTTCAAACCTGTAAAAAAAGGGTGCAAAATCCAGAACAAAGTTAATGCCTTATTGATAAATGCATAACCATTCATCAATCAGCATTGAAGTTATCAAGCAATGATCATGCATCAGGATGAGCTTGTCTTTGTTAAAGGGTTACTACTGGAGTACAGAATCTATGTCACTTTCCTGTAATACAATACTTTCTAGAGCCCTCCAGATGGTTTGGACTGCAGTTCCCATAATCCATGGATATTGACCATGCTGGCTGGGGCTGCTCAGTATAACTGGCAATAGTTGCATGACCTGAGGACAACAGATGATGAATTTCTATGTTTTGCATTCCACAGCCACTTTTTCTTTCAAGCACAAATTCTCCCTGGCCCATTTGTCTGTGGATGTTTTAAAGTCTTTTATATATACTGCCTTCTCTAATCCACACAATTGAAGAAAGACGTCACAAAATTCAGGAAAACAAAACAACTAAAAAGGTACTGTGCTCCTGTCCATGTATTAGCTTAGAACCCGGTAGATCAATATGAAATTTTTTCTCCAAGCTCTACTGAAGAAAGAAATCAGTGCAGCTTTCTGATTTGGGAAAATGGATATGTACGCTAAAAAAGTATGGGGAAATATCAATATATTGATTCTGCCTTTGGAAACTGTGAAGCTTGCAGAGTCTGAATAGGAGGAAGAAACTGGGAACGATTCTTCAAATATAACCAATTATGCTCACCTCCCCTTAGGCAGCTCTCCGTTTTCCTTGTGCCACTGGACAACAGGTGTTGGATCTCCATGGACTCCACACATGAACTGAACAGCACTGCCAAGTTTGGCAGAAACATCATTAGGTCGCCGACTGAATATTGGCTTTTCTAAGATGAGAGAAACAGATAACGTAATTCGACTTGACAGCACCAGTTTCGCAAAATAAGAGGAGTTCTCATAGTGAGTAGATAATATTATGGAGACTAGCCATCAAAAATGAAAAAATAGTTTTTCTGCAAGATGACTCACCACTAGCCACGAGCTTCTTTCTTATACTTTATGATGATGTATCCAGTAAAAAAGCTACATACCAATTCCATTTAAACCAAGCTACTCATCGTATTATGGAACTGAGTCATTTATGCCACTGGTTCTTAACCTTGGGTTACTCAGGAGTTTTGGACTGCAACTCCCAGAAGCCTTCACTACCAGCTGTCCTGACTGGGGTTTCTGGGAGTTGCAGTTCAAAAACATCTGAGTAACAAAGGTTAAGAACCACTGATTTATGCAATCCAGTAACTGTTACTAAAGATCAGTAATGTGCCACCACGACACTAAGGAACATTTGGAATTGTTGCACAGCATTTCCAGGTTGAAATACTGTTATTTCAGAAATTCAGCATTTTAGTAAAGTTCTACTGGCTACGTGGGCATGCCAGCCTCACTATAAAGCACAAATTCAAGATCCAGGTGAAACAGATACATGTGATGAAGAAGAGATACAGCTACTATTAAACGGATATGACTGGAAGATTTGTTTTTGACGGGCCTGTGTGATGTAGTGATTAGAGTACCAGACTGAGGTCTAGGTTTTCGTCCCCCATGTGGCCACTGGATGATGTTGTACAAGTCATTCTCATTCTCAGCCCCCCCACCCCAGCTTACAGAGGGCTTGATCACACATGCAAAAGAACCCTAAGTTATACCAATTCTCCTATTTTTAAACCATTTTAAAAAAATTCCATTCACATGGCAAACTGCTAACATTGATTCATTTTGCCCACCAATCAGTTACTGTATTTTTCCCTGTATAAGACTATAGGTAAAGGTAAAGGTTCCCCTTGACAATTTTTGTCCAGTCGTGTTCGACTCTAGGGGGCGGCGCTCATCCCACTCTTCAAGCCATAGAGCCAGCGTTTTGTCCGAAGACAATCTTCAGTGATCACATGGCCAGTGCGACTTAGACACGGAACGCTGTTACCTTCCCACCGAGGTGGTCCCTATTTATCTACTCGCATTTCCATGCTTTCGAACTGCTAGGTTGGCGGGAGCTGGGACAAGTGATGGGCGCTCACTCCGTCGCGTGGATTCGATCTTACGACTGCTTGGTCTTCTGACC